AGAGATTCTCTGAAGATTGGTAATACTGCTACAACCTTCAAGTGCTGGGTAGGTTAAGCAGTACTAGTGCCTCCAGAGTGGACAAACTTACTTTAGTAGCGGGAGATTTTTCATCAAAAGAACCTTGACAAAGAGCAGATAAAGAGAAACAGATCTGTCACTCCTGAGTATGCCCAGGAGTCCCTGAATGCAGCTTCATTCAGGCAGCACCGTACAAGCCTATTTGTGGAAATATTTTCTTGGCAAAGATTAAAACTGTCAAGGTAACAAGGATTGTTTCAGCTTTTGGCCTTTGTTTTACAGTTCTGGTGCAAGCCATATACAGTAGTATAGCTTATATGTATGGATGCTAAAAAAGCTGCACATTACTTTAAGGGGTGTCTATCTGATTGCATCGGTTTTTTAATAGTTGAAAATGTTTCTTTCTGTAGATGGACCTAATCATTTTATCAGAAAATGGCTTTGCCTCTTCTACAGATATTTTAAACTTGGCAGACCAACTTAAGACAAAGAAAATGAAGAAAAAGGAAGCGGAACAAGTGCTGAAAGTTTTTGTGGAGGATAAGTGGCTCTCTGAGGTAACTGCTGTATCTTTTCAAGTGTTTGTATTTTAATAGGTCCAGGTATTATTTTCTTATGGATGTGATGGCTGAAACTGAAACTGTTCTTCAATGAGTGATGGCTAAAATGGTTTTGTGAGGCCTGTGCTTATTGCTGCTCCAGTGATTTTTGCAGAAAAAGTAGTACATTTACAAGGAAAAAGTCCTTGGGTAGATCTATACAGGACAACACGGTTTCTGTTTCTTGCACCTGAGCTAGGTGGTTATGTGTGTACAGCCCTGCATTGCGACATACAGACATCCTTTGTACGCAACAGCACTGCATACTTAAACTTGGAACAAGAGCTGGGGAAAGCTCTTCAGGATGATCAGTGCTGTTAGTTACGTTTAGAATGTCCTGAAAAGCAGTGAGGCCAAACATGTTGAAAACTCCCGTACCAGAAATGTATGGGCCACTGTGCACATTTTTAAATCTCCTTTACTTCATGAGGAGAAATTGAGATTCGCTTACCATGTGACGCTGCAGTTGCTTGCCAAGACAAGTGAGACCTCAATCCCTTTTCTCCTGGATTCATTGCATCGTAGATCTCCAACCTGCTGCCACAGGTTTACTTATGTTAGAGTGATTTAGCAGAGATTTTCAAAGCTACCTCAAGCAGTAAATGCCTAGATTTTGCTGAAGGCCAGCAGAATTTCCGCTGATGTGCAAATGGAGGGTCCCAAAACTGCATGTCTTTGTTAAGGAGAGCATGCTTGCTCATCTGTACCTTCCAAGAACTAGATCTCTGTTAAAGGTGTGAGATCTTTATTCTAATCCTCTGAACAAATTAATTCTGCTACTTCAGAAGTATTTTTGGCTTTGCATTGTATCAGTGTCAGCATGTTAGTTTCACGATGGCAGAAAAAAGTGGATGTCAAATGCTTGCTAGCAGGTGGTTAGAAAAGTTAAAAAAGATAAAAGGAATTAAAAGAAATTCCTCATCTTGCCACTTATTTCCTTAGAGGAATGGAGAATATACTCTGCATACTCGCTGCATAATTGAGATGGAACAATACATTCTCAGCAACTACCAAGATGTGGCAAGGAAGTGTAACATCTGTCACAGCCTTGCCATCCAGGTAACATTTGTTTTATCACCTCAGTAGGCATCTGCCGATGTACTTATATGGTCATAGCTGAAGTGTGTGATACTTTTCCTTCGAGTATTAGGCAGGCACTGAAAAATTCTTGTCTTGTCATCTGGTAATGGTGCCCATGTATATAAAGAAAATACTTTTTTTTTTTTCTTCAGTGTAGGTATTTTATCTTCTGTCTTTGGAAAAAAACTTCTCTTGCAGCAGTATCTCCAAGTGTGAACTTGGAGAAAGCGAACTCACCCAATGAGGAACATTATTGTGCTGTCTTGCTTTCCAAAGCCAGCAGGCTAGAGATGAACCCCTTATCCTTAAATAGGCGTAACAGTTAAGTGTTAGCTATCTTATCTTTGGACCTTACAAATAGCGGTCTTCATGTGACACACGTTCATCTTTGGTCCTGGGATTTTGGTCCAGGAATTGCTTGTGTCTTGGACTTCAGAATGAACATGTATGCTTATATATAGCATGCTAAAGCACTATATTTTGATAGCTGGTAAGTTACCAGTTTAGTCTTGCATAAGTGGTTACAGCCTGAACTCCTATTCCAAAACTACTGCATTCTCTTGCTCCTTGACCCTGCATCTTCTCATCTTCCCAACTAACGTGCTTCCATGTTACTTTTTCCATCCCAATAGGTCTCCTTTATTGCAACCAAATAGCTCAGTGTTGTTTGTCTTTCAAGCTAGATTTTCTTCATATAGGGAAATGGTATTTCCTAGTTTCCAGGAAATACCTCCTTTTATCATGTACCAACTTTGACTTTTGAGCATCCACCAACTGTACTGTGTGAACCATTCTTTGGAATAAAGCATTGCATATCTGCTGCCCTTTGTAACAACTTTATGTTAAATTGAAGGACAGATTAGAAAGACTTTTTTATCAACACTTCTGATTTCAGAGCCAAGTATGTGAATCCTGTGGAATTGGAATGCATTTACCTTGTGTGAGAAAGTACTTTAGAGCTCAGACTGAACCACGCTGTCCGCAGTGTAATGATTTCTGGTCTTGTGACATTCCAGGTACCAAGCAACCTATTTTTAAAAAAATTGAGGGTAATAATACTAGAGAATGGACTGTGATATTCAGTGGCACTGCCTATATTATTTATAGCTGTAGTTGAGTATCAGTTATTTCAGACTTCAGTTCTATGTTTCAGACAGTAAACCATACATGAGCAACACTGAGCCCTGAAAGTGCAAGGATTATGCCTTATGGTCACTAGCAGGTCCTGTGCATATTGTTTCTAAGAACATTAAAGTGTGGAGGGGGGGACGAGGAGTAGGGGGCAGACACAACACATGACACTAAAACTTCTGGAAATACTGAGCTGCTAAGAAGAGCACAGTCTCTTCAGAATTCCTCTGTTTAGCCAGGGAAATTGGACATTCTGAACAGGAACACAGGAATATATAAAGCATTTTAAAAATCTGGAGGTTATACAATATCATCCTTTTTTTGTGTGTCATTCATTAACCTTCCTTTTGTTTTCTTTACAGGTATGAGTCGGATAGACTCCCAGTCACCATCAAAAACAGGGAGAACAGAGAAGACCTTCATTCTCAGCACTGGACGATGCTAGTAAAACTCGCTTTCAGTGAAATCTTTTTTCCCCGCTCTTGCAGAATAGCCAGAATGTATTGTATTCATTAGTAACAGTGTATTTTCAGTGTACATATTTTCTCCTGAACTGTTAAGAATCTTAAAATAAAACTATCATTGACCTTCCTCTTCTCCTTCTTCACAGTTATGCCTGCACAGCTTTCTTGGAGGCTCTTTTGTGTATGTAGTTCTCCACAGTCTTGGATTGGGACTCTCAGTGCATGTTTGGGAATGAAAGATGCAGATGTTTTCAGTCAGTCCTGCAAGCTGAGCTATGCAGATGAACTATTAAAAGAAGCCTTTCTCAGCAACAGTGTTCCCTATTTGTACAGTTTCAGTTGCACAATTGAAAATGGAACCTGTTACTAGCACCACAGGGCTTCAAGCAGGTGAAAAATCAATGCAGCTCTTTTGGTCTCCTCATGAAGGCGGCTGGCTGAATATCTGATCTAGGGCTAGAGTTTGAACACTTTCAGGTAGCACTGTTTCTTGGGTTTTGTCCCTTTAGACACAGAAGAGTTGATCTGACATACAGCCAGGTCACGAGCAACTATGCTCAATAAGAGAGGGAATATTCCCACAGTCAAAATGATTGGGAAAGAGAAAGACAAGACTTTTGAGTCAATGCCAGCTTATGTCTGCAGAGTGTTGAAAAAATTATCATCTTAAGATTCTTTTAGTTTTTAGTATTAGCACTTCACTCTCCAGTTTTATGTAAGGGTGCTTCTTCCTTTAAGAGTGACTTGAAAAAAAGCCAAGGACTAGATAGTGCCAGGTACCAGAACAGAATGGCAGCATATCTTTTGTTGGTAGAAATGTGTGACACTGCAGAAGGCAGAGTGTCAGCAGTTCAGCTGATGGTTAATCGAAGTATGATTAAGCTTCAGTTTATTTAACTGCAATTAAACTATGGATTAACTACAATTAATTATGTTCCTAGGCCTTAACACTAGTAACTTTTTCTGTATAGGAGATTGGTATCTTCCATCATGTTAGCTTTTTTTTTTTTTTAACATATTGAACCTTTGGGTCGCACCATCCCTCATTGTTTATGTAACTCCCATTTTTACTGTTATTAAATCCAAGTAGAAGGTAACACTAACCTGATGTTCCAAATACAGTTTGAAGCGCAGTCCTGGCTGTGCCCATATATAGAGCTGTTTCAGATGTACACACGCATACAATATGATGACCTAACATGCTTTTTATGAGGAGTTCATATTAGAAACATCCACAAAACCAAAGTGGCTGTAGCATCTTTTTTCCATTTACCCATCCAGACTCTTTCACCATGCTGAAGCAAGAGTTTGTTGTTTTTTGTTTTTTTTTTTAATCCACCTCTAACCTCTGGATAGGGAAGAACATTCTCATGCTTAAAAATAATTCTCTTGTGAGAAGATGCCAGATGCTATTTTTTCTGATTTTTAATTCCTATAACAATGCTAACAGACTTTATGCATGCTTCAGAGCTATGACCACCAGAAACTGACAGAGAAGCTGATATCAAGCGATCGTACATAGTGCCAATATTTAACTGGAATAAACAGAACCTGTCCAGGCATCAGAATACAGGACTGAAATGCAGCCTTTCTGAAATCAGGAAACTTAACTAAGTCAGGATCTTCCACATCAACCTATAAAAAACCAAAACAATCATCAGTAGAATGTCTTTACTTAAATACGATTTGATAAAGTAACATTACTGATACTAAAATTTCAGGCAGCTATTTACCTGACTAGTGTTGTGAAGAATTTGGCTTTCATGTGGGTACAGGTTTTCTGAATCTTGAGGTGAATATAGACGGATATACTTTCTTCCAAATACCTGTATATATTACAACAAATGTTTTCCATCTGTCATTAACCTGCACATTACTGGAAACTGTGGGCCATAGCTGGCATTTAACAGTAAAATATACCTGATTACAAGAAACATCATTATCTTTGTTAGTAATAAACAGACACTGCTATCATAAAAAGTTAAATCAGACTATTGGAATTCAAGTACCTGTTCCCTTGGAGCAGATAAGAATTTGAAATACCAGGTAACGTCTTTAACCAAATTACTTTAAATTCAAAGTTTAAGGCACCCAATTTATACAATGATGTTATTTGGGCTCTATGTAGCACGAAAGTGATTAGAAAAAGAACTGAGTATAAGGAGGTCGAGTCTCCAGTGCAGTTCACACCAGCAGGCAGAGGTACCCGCACAGAGTGACTGCTAAGCTTCCATATACTCCTTCAGCTCTTATTTCTGTGTCATCATTAAATCAGTTCCTTCATTGGAATGCTTAATTGAAAGACTAGAACTCATAAGGCAAGTGGACTGACTGACCTGAACACTACACTGAATTGCAAGTTGTTGATGCCTAAAATGAAGTGGCAGAATAAACCAGAGTCAAAGCTGATTCCTGCACTGGTACCAGTGGAATGCCCACAGGGTGAATATTCATGCTGCTTGTGCCCGGATTCAAGATTTCTTCAAGGGCCAGGCATGATCATATTTGTTTGGAACTATCACATTAAGTCAGTACTCTGACTAACCACAGCACCCTGGACTGGCACTATGCTACCAAACTATTCCTAACCAAGCTGCTTTTCCTCTGTCTTAACATCCCTTCCCATGTAATAGAACAGGATTTCTTGAAATCTTACCAAGTTGTAATGCTAGATGTTTAGAGTTTTTTGCTTCAAGGACAGCACATAAATGTATTCTAAAGGCTGGACAAGTATCAGGGTATTCATGCCCTGTCCTACTCTTCACTATCACTGGTGAAACTACTAGAGCATTGATCTGAATAACTACAGCTGTCGTGTTTTTAGGATGCCTTCCATACCCCAAAGGGATTATGGATATTAATTAGCTCTCTAAAGAACCAAGTGTTAAGTGATATTTTTGGTGATGTATGAAAGTAAAGAAAATGTTGGTTATGGCTCCAATAGCACATTTTCTGAATCCTTGAATTCTTTTTGGGGGGTGGGTGTTACCTGGACTGCTGTGAGCTATTAACAGCTCCTTCCTTCACTTGCCTCACTGGGTTAAGGCCTTGTATATTGCAGGTTGAACGCACAAGTTAATGGGCAACAGCCTGCATCTCCAGATACTGGTTTCCTCATTAATGGAAATACTACGATCTCTGCAGCAGCTACCACCCAGCCAGTAGGGTTCACTCTACTTTGTTACTTGTACTTGTGCCTTCCTGGACTCCACAGCCACAGTTTAAATGGCATCAAGAGGCAGCGCTGTTTTAACTGAAAATTGGAAACTGCGAGATCACCTGCTGTTCAAATTACAAAGACTCTTTTACAGCACTAGCAAATAATCTCCCATTCTTCAGGCAGAAGAATACAAGTTCTGAAGTTTGTAAGGGAGGTATCTTTTCCCAGTCCAACAACTCCTATGATGGACTTCCACCCCAAAAAATTCCCCTCAAGCTTTACATAGTATGTATAGTAGGATACTTCGCTTTCAGAATGCATGGGGCGGGGCGGGGGGGGGAAGAGAAAGAGAGAGAGGCAGGTTAGCAGGGAAGAGAAATACAATATACATACATAGAGAAACACAATACATGTACATAATTGCACAGCAGTTGTAAAAACCCACTTTAGGAAGGTCTGAATTAAGCCTCAGTTCCAAGTGAAAACACAGGTTAGCAGGATGCAACTGTTTGGGACAGAGGAACTAAGGTTCAATCCATAAATAAGCACAAGTAGAAAGTATTCAATATCGTGATCCTGCTGGAGAATGTTTGAAAGTGCAAGCCATATTTTTTTTTAGAGTCTGATGGGATGGAGGAAGAAACGGCAATCTCCTTCCAGTAAGCAAAAAACCCCTCAGTGTTTGAAGATGTACAGTTGTCAACTGCTTAGCCCAGGAATACGTCTTCGGGCTTGTATAGTGCTTACCACAAAGGGCCCCAGTACTTTACTGTATTACTCTGCACTAAAAGTCATCATCAAGAAGCCTACCAACAGTAACTCACTTAGCAGCAATGAGGTCACAGTGCAAATATTACTTCATCTGACTCTCAATGCATGCACTAATGGATATTTTACTGGGTAACCTGATGTGGATTAAAGTATGCACCTAAGTCCACCCCAAATCTTGCTGTTCCAGAAAAGGAAGTTCTTTGGTACACTGTGACAGGATCCAGGTTCTTCCCAACTCTGTTAACAAATTCCTTGTGTGACCTTGGAAAAGCTGCTGCTTATGATTTCCATTTATCATCTGTAAAATGAGGGTGAGTAATGGTCTATCTCAATGAGGAGCACTTGTGGCCTATAAGATTACATTGAGTATTAAGTTGCAGTAGTAACAAATGCAACAGAATAGCAAAACAATATCTGCATATTCTCTGTCCTTCAATCGTTCATCAAGTTGTCTGCTACCCTTGTCTCTAACACTTAACATACCATAAGCATTTTTTCTACCTATAGCATTAATGACATGTGTAGAGTAAGTAGAGTACAGACCTGGGCTAAAAAATTTTGCTGGGGATCCTGATGAAGAGGTGAGATAGTGCCTTCTGGACCAAACCAAGCGTTAATGGTGATGTCATCTTCTTCCCCTTCCCCCAGGCAGCAGTAGTCAGGGATACTGATATCCTCTTTCAATTCCGGGATCTACTCCCATAAAGAAATAAACATTAAGAACGGTATGTGCTGACTTGCCAAAGGCATGTAATTTGTAGAACAGAGGAACAAGGCTTGGTACACAGAAAACAAATGACCTGCTTGTCCAGCAAGGACAGGGCAGTAGAGAAGTAGCTGAACTGCTAGGAATCTGCAGGAAATGTCCTCACACTTTCTGTCCTAGCAAGCAGATTCTGTTGGAAGGAGAGATGGGAGAAAGAAAGGGGTTTCTCATTCTTCAGAGACCCTTTGCTTTAGCAGAAACCAGAGAGACCCAAGAATGAGTAGATCTGCTGTTCGTGGAAAAGGAGCAGCTGATCTTTTATACACTAAGCTTGCTTCTCCGTGAGATTCCTTTTTATGTCTCCCACCAACCCAATCTCTGGTTAACTGGAATGACATTTCAAAATATGGTGAACATATCACCACTGAAGACTGTTTCCTGTCCAAATCTCTTCCCTGACTTACATATTCGTTGGGGAAATGCTGCTTTCCAGGTGATATCCCTGTAAGTATATGCTACATTGTACCGAAACAGCACTAAGATTGAATATCTTCGCCCCTGAGTTTTGTTTCCATGCCTTTCAGCCAAATGGAACAAACCCCTTCCTCTGTTCCTTCAAATTGTGGGAATAGAAACTTAAGAAATACTATGAATTCTCTGTATGCCCTTCCATCTAGCAGAGTTGACATCCTCAGAGATGACTTGTCCTACAAAGGGAACACTTGACTGCAGAAAGATAGAAACATTCAGTTTTACCTGATCAAAAAGCTGGTGCTGGGCAAGGTATCCTACACTGTTCTGAAATTACAGCAGAGAAAGAAAAAAATGCACAGTGACATATAAGGTAAGACTTTTCAGTCAGTTAATTTACTTACAGGTGAGTAGAATTTACTTATAGATAGCATCCATTTCCAATGTCCTATTTCAGAGTACTAGAATTGTTTCAACAGTTGAGTAGTATAAGGGGTCTTCTGAAATAGTAACTTACAGCTACACTGAAATTGTAAGAGTGTAGATATATCCCCACAATCGACAAAGTATCTAGCTCGAGTTACTGGAAGAAGCCTACCTATAGTCCTACAGAGTCTCGACAACAGTTCTGTTGTCAACCCTGTGACAACGCTCTGCATCTTTATAGCTAGACCCTGCGGGTACACAGACTAGTTCACCCTCACTCCCTACAAGTATCTCGATACTCTATTCCAGCCTGCACCACAAACCAATTTGCAATGGCACATGGTCCTTCCTGCCAGAAGACTA